TTTCACCTCTAGTTTGTTATGATTATGTAAGATAGATTGAGGGTGGTTTAAGCTTTCCATTTTGGTCTGCATTTGGTTAATGCTTTTCAAATACAGTATTTAATCTTACTCTTTATAATCTTATGGCTGTTTTAACTGTTAAAACATGCTGGAATTTATACAGTAAGTCAGAATGTGAGCTTGTGAGTGATCACTGAAGGATCTCTGTTAGGCTAAAGCTGGTCTAGCCTCCAGTTTGAGGTGGGAATTACCACCAATACTAGGCCAGGTGATCTTGGCTTCATTTGCCAAATCCTTGAATCCTCGTTCAGCCTCCTTTCTCAACTCCCCATGTGAGCTAATTCCAGTTTGTCTCAGAACGTTCATTCTTGAGGTCCAGAACTAAAGCAATCTTGGATTTAACCTTGCAATTTTAATATCACAGTGATACTATGTATGGGAGAATTTTAGTTCCTGTGGGAATAAAACTTTGATTTTCTGTCATTTACGCTCACAAATCATGGGTATATGAAAATATCCAACATGTTTTTCAAGTTACCTTAACTACAGTCTTCCCCAAGCTGTTTGTAATTTAAGAATATTGGAATATTTGTCAGGATTAGTATTCTCAGTAATAAATCAAAATGTGTGGGTAATGGACTGTAATGCCTGAAGTTATTCTGAATTGCTGATGGCAAATGACAGCTGTGAAAGAATGAGGTGGTGATGTCCAGATGTTGTGAAGCCTCTGCCAGCTTACCAAACTACTGTTATTTTCTTATTTAGTATCTGTCTTAGAACCTGAGTAAAAGATACACCTTGTTTGAAGCAAAACAAAAAATGAAGCATTGAATGTGATGGGTTTATTTTTTATGAAAAGATTTGAAGGAGAGAACTTGCAACCTGCTGTGTTCCTGGTGCAGAAGAGCCCAGCAGTCTTTCTTCAAGTGGGATGCAGTTTTATGTTCTTGTGAATCTTATTTCTCTAATTGCATCCCCCTACTGTGAGTGGTCCCATTGCAGTCACAAGGAGCAGGACCATGTTCCTCTGAGGAAGAGTCATGACACATTAGCTGTTGAAGTTTCTCTAGTATTCATTGAATGATCTCATAGCTTGATAACAGCGTTCCTGAGAGCAGTCTTGTATTTAGAGCAAAATGTTTAAGAATAAATAATTTTGAAATAACAAAGAAAAAGTCATCCTACATTATTTCTTTTTTACCCCTGAGGTTTGCAATTTTTTTGTCCTACAAGTAGCAGCCCTCCACAGAAGTTTTGTCCGCCAGACTGTTTCATTGACAGCTGCTGCCACCCACATTTTGTTCTTACTAGGGAGCAAAAGTGCATCCTGCATAAGTGCTCATGTCCAGACTACACTAAGCCAAAGTTGGATAAGTTTGCTGCTGGTTTAGATTCCTCTAGGCACTAATGGAAGCCAGAAGTATCTGACAAACTCACTGAGGATTTTTCTTGAGCTACAACTGCATCTAATGTTGCTATTTAAAATTAAAGTGAGAAGCCCTGTGCTTCACTCCTAGTGAAGTCCGCATGGTTGAGAACAGTGTAAGAATATGGAGCTCTTGTTTATGTTTCATAGAGGTAAAACATTATAAAAGAAAGGCCTTATAAAATCAGGCCTTGCTCAGCTGAATTAACAGCTAGCCTCTTAAGTTCCCGTGAGAAAGAATTCTAGGAATGAAAATCAGTTTGCACAACAATCTATTATTGTGAGAAAAAACGGGTTGCACCTGTGAGAAATAAAAAGTCTATCCCATGAGAATCCGCGACGAAAATATGTAAACACCTGTGTGAAGAGGAAGTCTTAGCACATTCACACACAAGCACCGTCTAACCAAAGAATTGAGTGGCAAGAAAGTTACTAACCAATTAGAATTAAACAGGATGACTTTGAAAAATCAAAAATATCAAAATCAAAATAGGTATTTGAGTGGCAAGAAAGTTACTAACCAATTAGAATTAAACAGGATGACTTTGAAAACGGTACCAAAATAGGCTGTAACATTCAAGTGGGGCTTTTTGCCACTGAAACTTTGAAGTGCTGTGCCTGTTGTTATTCACTGGCTATTGTTGCAATAGCTCTAGAGTTTCAGAGAATCACAGAATGGTTTGGGTTGGAAGGGAGATGAAAGGACCATCTAGTTCTTTATGCCTTCTCACTACTAGAATAATACCATTTCTTTTCCTACTCCATCTTGGCCTTGAGCACTCCCAGGTATGGGCTATCCGCAGCTTCTCATTTGCAGACTGAAGTTTGCTCCTTGCTGCTTCACCCTATCAGTAATTATCATCATCCTTAAAGACTACCAAAGGCTTCAGCCTCCAAAGCTAGAAGTGCTCACAGGCAGAACCTGTGTCCATCCACAATACACACAGACCTGCCTTCTGTACATAGCCTCATTCCCGGCTGGGCTTTGGGTTAATCTAAAGAAATTGCAGAGTATCACCCAAAGCAAGGAGAGTGAGGATGGTAACGCTCACAGTGACTGTGTGAGATGGAAAGCTGAGTGTCATCATCATGGTGATCTGGAGTTTGCATGCAGGCTTCTTATCAGAGCCCTGCTTGTGAAACTCTGGGACTCTCCAGCCCTAGCAGCATAAACAGATTTAAGGATGCATTTGGTATTCATCTGGGTCAGGTCCTGCGCTCTCCATGTATAAACTCATGGAGATCATGCTTTTGAGGGTAGAAAACACACGATGCTGTACAAATGTGAAGTTTTATTGTGATTTTGAGTGTTTCTATAAATAAACAAAAGCAAACAAACTTCTCTGATTTATTGTAGAAGTGGAAAGGAGCAGAGTGTTAATGATTGGATACAAAACCTATACAGTGAAAGGTTAAAAGCCAAAAAAGTGCATATGTAAATATGTTTAATGAGTGCAGTTGCTGATAGCAAACACTGACTGTATATAACATATCCTGGAGTTATAGAATACATGTATATACACATTTATATAAGACTGAAAAGGCACTAGAGTTTCCCAAATAAAACACAAGTAAATTAATAGTGTAAATCAAAACACTGAGGTTAGGGGGTTGTGCTTTAAGGGAAATTTTGAAAAATCATATGGGAAGTTGGAAACTAGGTTCCCACTGAAAGCCAGGGAATTCAAAAGTCCAACTCCCATTTGTATCTTCAAAATCTCCTTTAATATACTGATCAGATGCCAAATAATATATGTAGTACGAGATTAATGAGTCTATAAAGGAATGCACCACACTGCAGAAAACTACAGAACATTAAGCTTCTTATGGAGCTGAAGAGCTTACTATAAAATCTGGCACTCTTGTTCGTGCTATTCTTATATTGTAGAAATAAATGGGTTCTTGCAATACTGAGAATCTAAATACATTCCTGTGCAAGTTTGTCCAAGAAATCTCTTTGTGGGGAAAATTGTCATCAGAACAAGGAATAAAGAATAATGTAGGGTGGGCAAACCTGGTAGTCAAATTTTATCTGCTTTTGCCAGAGTGACCTTTCTACTTTCATTTGACTGAAATTTTTACAGGTTAAAAAAAAAAGGCATTTTTTTAATCTCTTGTAAAAACTTACAGAAGAATAATATTCTATGAAGGGGACTTGATAAAACAAGGTATGATAGTACATGTGCATGTAAAAAAAATCTCTGTAGAAATAAATAGTAGAATTCTTATGGGTGGGTGTGTTTTTCAATGATTTTTAGCTTTTGTGATTTTACTGCTTTACCTATGGAGTGTAGGCTGTGTAAGATAAGTGTAGGGAGTTTTTCAGGTCAGAATTTTAGCAGCTGTAAGAAATGCTGCGTATGTTTATTTAATAACATTTATTTACACAGGAAATAAAAACAACAACCAGCAGAGTTAAAACAACTGCAATGACTGTGTCACACACCTGTGACAGGTGTCTACACACCTGATGGTAGAGTGACAGAACTGGCAGGCCAGGGCAGGTGTCATGTAAGTCTCCTTTTGGAGCCACAGCTGCTTTGGTCTGATGCTAGAGCAGCTCCGCCTGTAAAGAATATCTGCTGTGCAGACAGTAATGAATTCTGCAATTCTGTGTGCAAAAGCGTGTGGTGTTTGAAGTCCTGTGAATGCAAACCTGCAAACCCTCAGTATGTAGCCATATAACCCAAAGTAGCTTTGTGAACACAGGTGTATATAGTGTAGCAGCAGAAAAACTGAATGATCACAATTGTGAGACACCTTTGGTGCTGCTGGTGTTGTAAAGGCCCCTGATTCCATTCAACTGATTCTTGGTTTTCTGAACTATTTTATCACTTCTGTATTACAGATTCTGCCTTTTCCATATGGAGTGTATTCACATTGATTGGCTGCTCTGCAGACACTGTGTTGGAGAGTTGGGACTTAAGTCAGAGCCAAGTGGCCCCAGCTCCAGCTGTGTCCCCTTGCTCTGCCTTGGAAGGTGCTGAGCCTTCTCTGAGGGCATGGTGGGCTGCAGGATGCTGGGGGACCATGCAGCATGAAAGCAGATTCTGTCAGTTGAACCTGTGTCTGCAGTGGAGCTGCTGTCTTATGGTGGAAGCTGTTTTCTTACTTCATTCCAAAGGTTTTGGCATGGTATCTCTTGTAAAGTCCTTACTACTGCTTTGTCAGCTGTTGAGCACCTTTCTGTTATGCTTTTGCTACAAACAGATGAACCTGGATTTTCCTGAAAGCAAGTGCAACTACTGCTGGCATTGCAGGCTGAAACAGGTTTTCAGGCTTATACAGGCTGGCAATGCCCAGACTATATCAGAGGAAAGAGGCTTCTCCTGAAGTAGTTTGGGGTTTTTTTCATAGACAGCAAGTTGTCTTCATGGGATCATTTCGCAGAGAAACCCATTCCCAGGAAACTCAAGAGCAAAGTTACCAGTGACCCAAATAAGCACATCCAAGGGGAGTTCCCGTGTTTCCCAGAGGATTTGGCTAGCATTACAGGAAGTCTGGCTTTTTTTCATTCCTTGTTAAATGTACATTTAACAATATGTAACAATATGTGTGTTTTGTTTATTCCTTGTTAAATTACAACACATTTTAATATCTTAGTCAAGACAGTTTGAAAATATTTCTGTGTTTTAAATACTATTAAGACAGCACAAGTCTGAAAGTATTGCTACACTGACCTGCCAGTGCAGTACTGCTCATTAGTCATGTATGAAGCTGTGAAAGCTGTAGCCATCAATAACCTTGCCTAAGCATTTCCCAGTACTGGACATTTTGTGTTTGTAATTACAATTTATGACCTCATTCTGCAAACATGCAAGTATTTGCATATTCTTGTATTAATTGGTATTGAATGTGGTCAGTCTGCTGAGCTGAGAGATGCATGCGTTCAGGTACTCAGAGAATTAGGATTTCAGGGGCACAAAATGGAGGATGCACCATATATAAACAACTGGCAATTATAGTCACTTGTTAAAATAGTTTACAGTGGCCTGTGAGGCACAAGAAGGAATATAGCACATCTTTAAATAAGTATAAAATTTTAGATTGTGTATCCTATATTTTGCTGACATGTGAAACTTCCACAATTATTTATGCCACATGTGAGTTGCCTCTAATAAAAAAAGTTAAATCCTGGAAAAAAAATCAATCTTCCTTCCAAATAAAACAATTCTCTATTTTCTTTCTCTTAGCCTATGAGACTGTACTTTCATTTCATGTCACAATGCTCTGTGACTACAGAAGTTACGAATCTCTATGAAAAAATGGACCAGTATATCAAATTAAATAGAATGTATGCCCCAGGGAATATTATCCTGGAGTACTTGTCGATGGCGTGGGTGTCGATGCGCATGCTGACGTATCTCTGGTTTTTCCTCCTGGCCGAGCCTCTCTCCGAGCCCAGTGCCAGCTGCACCATCATCCGGTCCTGCTTGTCCCCATCCTCGGACATGAAGTGCCCCAGCTCGTTCACGTCCCCGTCGTTGTAGCTGCCGTCCACCATCATGGTCCGGGGCTGAGGTAGGCTGCATGCACAGGCAGGCTGTGGGCACAGACAAGGGCAGCAAGGGTTGGAGCTATGTCCACACATTCACAGACACCCCTTTCCTCCTTCCATCCCATAGAGGTGGGGAAAGGCCTGGGATTCAGGCTGCTGGGATGCAAAAGGGAGAACAAAACAGTGGAGCTGGGCAGGAGCTTTTTCCATCTCCACTTCCATGTCTGTGAGGCACAGGTACTGTCAGGGAGAGAGCAGGGCTGTCTGTGGAAAAGCTCCTTCGGTTTAGGCATGGGTACCAGGGTACAAATAAAGGTTGGACCTGTGCCTTGTAGCTGAAAAAATCAGAGGAAGACAGAGGGAAACAACAAGAAGGAATGAAGCCTGCCCCATTTGGAGAGAAACCCCCTGACGATGAAATTTTAGTTTAAATTTAATGTAACAAGGGCAGAGTGGGAAAAGTGGGACCACTGTATAAGTTTAGACTGCATAGACAAAAGTGGGTGATATCTCTCATGTCATCTGAAACCCTAACCACAGAATTCTGATTCTATCCACAGGTTTCAATCTACAGTATAAAAAATATTTAAAGGTAAAATCCTAAGACCCATCACATCTATACAGGCAGTGGAGGATAATACCTAAATTAACCCACACAGACTCCAAAGAAAGAGCAGTGAGCTTGGGCATAGATTGTGTGTGGCAAATCTTTACAACCTACAATACCTCACTGCTGGTGTCTTTTTGCATGCATTGCATTTTTCCCAGGCAGCTGAGAGCTGCAGCTATAAAGCTTTGAACATTTCCAGACCATTTTGCCATACCTTTTCCCGGGGGCAATAAAATGACATTGGAGGTAGAAAACCTCACCTTGTCCCGCAGTTTCCTCTCCTTCCGCTCTTGCACCGTTGTCAGGTAATTCACAGCTGCGTATTCCAGCACCGAGAGGAAGACAAACACAAAACTGACCCACAGGTAAATGTCCACTGCTTTGATGTAGGAAACACGAGGCATGGAGGCGTTTACCCCAGTGATGATTGTGGACATGGTCAGCACGGTGGTTATTCCTGGGAATACACCAGCAGAAGAGACCATAAGATGCTTTCAAGCCAGACTCTTCATGACAAATACAGCAGTTCTTACAATTTCCTGACATCTGAATTTACCTTGCAATACTTTTTTTTCTCTTTTGGGTAATGAGTTTACTGCCTGAGGAGGGTCCAGGTAGCCCTGATTTGTAACTGAGCAAATATATCTTGTCCAGTTTTCTTGTCCATTTGGTGAGCACAGCTCTAATTCTGGTCTCAGGGTGTTGCTGGTCTGGCTTCTCACCATACCACCAGTCTCCCATCCCATGGTCAGGCAGCAGCACTTTGACTCTGTGCTGGCTGCACCCCATTCTAGGCTCAGGACAGTCTCTGGAGGGGTACAAGTACATAGACTTGAACTCAGTGATCCTTATGGCTCCCTTCCAACTCAAGATATTCTATGACTATGATTCTGAGTATCTCAGCTTCTAGTTCAACCTCTCCACAGCATGGACACAAGTGAAGCAGCTGCTTTTACCCCTTTCCCCTGTGTCTTCTGTATGCTGGACTTCTCCTGGGAAGTCCTGCTTCACAAGAAGCCACAGAGTCCCCAGCTCTCATACTTGATCTGTGCCTTCACTGGAGCAAAATCAGGGAATAATGGTGCCCCACAAGGCAGTGCTGTCCCATGTTACACCCTGGGCGAGCACAATGAGCACAAGAGCAAGGGCAGGAGCCCCTGTAGTTCTGCATTATCCTGGTACTGAGAGAGCCTCTCCATGGCCCTCTCATTTCAGGGGCTAATTATGTCACATTAGTGATTACTTTGGAAGATGAAATTATGTATATAAGCACAAATGACTGAATTCACAGGAGTGTCTAGGTGCTAAAAATACTGCTAAGGCAGTGCCTAAATCTTCTGAAAAGCCATAGGCCACACCCTTATTCTTCCTTTAATGATATATTGAGGCAGCGGGTGCTGTTTCTAAATTCAGACTTGAAAAACTGCTCTATTGCCATCTATTTTGTCTCTCTGTATTCTCTCCACTGAGGAATACGATTTTAAGAATAAATAAAATCCTGAGGCGTGTTGCCTGGAATAAGAGAAAGAAAGCCTGAGCTCAGAATCTGCAAAAAAGCAAACAACACTTTGCTGAGAGCAAAGCATCCACTTTAGAAGATTTATGTCCATATCACAGTTCTGCTCCTGTGGTGAACCCTGTGACATATGGCTTCATCTCTCAAAAAGATGCTGCAAAAGGGGAAGCTGAATCCCTCACACTACAATGCAAATTCATTAAAAAAGTTAAACTGCACAGCACAGTTCAGCTGTGTTACCTCCACCCTCCCTCCTCTAGCAAAACTCAATAAACAGAAATTTTGTCAGGGCTGCTGATACTGATTTTCACCTTCTCACTCACTGAAGTCTCTGAAGGATACTGACACCTTGGCTGTACACGTGCCCCGTCCCTGTTTAGAGCAATAAAAGCAGAGTGGAATGTTTGCTCTTTGATTCATTCCAGGTGCATCTTGTGCAAACAGGGAAAGCAATTGTCTTGGCACGAGGAGGCTTTGCACCACAGGGGACACATGCCCTGTCCCTGGGGCACGTGTGTGGCACAGCTGATTTCTGTGCCTTGAGGCAACACGGTGCATGGCACTGGGGATTTCACCTTGATGGTCAAAGCTGTGGTAGCAGCCTTTGTCTCTTAGGTCTGCTGACTACCAGATTGTTTTTACCTAACGGGACTCTGGCAGGAACTGCTCGTCGGTCGATCCAGAAGGACACCCAGGACAACATGACCATGAGAGTGGCAGGGAAGTAGGTTTGGAGCAGGAAGAAGAAGATGTGTCTGCGTAATGTGAAGTTTATATAGAGGCGATTGTACCACCCTGTGAAACAGAGAGAGTGAAAAAGAGGAGTTACAGCAACGCCAGACTACCTTCAGATAGGGTGATGCTGCACCAGGGGAAAATTAACTCATTTTCTCTTCTGAAAACACAGTTAATGGCTGCAGATCATTGCAATCTACAGAAAAAAACTCCTTACTGAACCAACAAATCAAAGTCAAACCATCTCTCAGGTTGATGAATTCCAGAAAATATAACCTGTGCAATCAGAGAGTTTAATTCAAGTGAAGACTTGATGTGACCTTGAAGAGGGATTATCTTTCCAGACTACATGACCATTAAGATAGGAGTGCGTGGCAGGGGCAGCCAACTTGGTATAGAAGAGTGGCAGGTCTGATGGGAAACAGAGAGAACCCCCACTGGACAATCCTCCATGGCCAGGGTCAAGAAAGACAGTTTTCACCCTTCTTCCCCCAGCTCTGGCAGCTGCTCTAGTTGCCCACCTGTGCTGCTGTAAAAGGCAAGCTTTGTGGTGGTGTGAAATTCCTGAATCAGGAACTGGGACAGTGATATCCTCTCATCTGTTTTTAGGGAATCGTTCCCATTCTTCCAGTAGAGCATAAGGTCATCTTCAGTGTAAGCATCTAGAGAAGCAGAGCAAATTCAGGATAGTGCACTAAGACAGTTACTACCACCCCCATGGTCCCGGGCTTACCCACAGAGCTCCCAGCTGAAAAGGTCAAATTCCCAAATGCCACTCACCCAGGTGGTGGGTATGGCTGTGGCAAGGAGTGGGCTAGCTCATGGTCACAACCCTCAGGACTGATGCCTGGTAGGTTTTGTTAACCCTCCTGTTTCTCTAATCATAGTTTCATACACATAATATGTGTGTCAAGTAACCCACTGCATCAAAACTTGAAAAATTCTTTTCTGTAAACCTCCTAAAATCAGAAGCAAAGAAAGGGAGCCTTAGCAGAAGGAACCTGCTTGGGGTGATGAGAGCAATCTGAGAGGAACAATCTGAACAAACAATGGTCTGAGGCATGCAGGAATAAAAACTCTTGGAGAAAAAGATTTCTGCCTATGAACACATGAACATTACTTTGTTTTTTAATAAATGTGGAACATTACTGTTGATCCTTTCAGATGGGTTTAGTAGCAGCTCTTTCCACACAGGAAGAAAAAAATGTATAGAAACATATTAAAACAGAATTAAGAGTGTAATTTCTTATTGCCAGCTTAAGAAGGAGAAGAAAATAACCCAAAAAACCCAAAAGTTTAAAATGTTGCTATGTGAAACCTGGACAATTCATATGTGCATCATACTTGGAACAAAAGGCATAAGCTGGCTTTATCTAAAACAGGCAATTAATATCACTACCCCATCATGGTTTCTATGCCATGGATGAGCAGATGGTGCCCATGAAGGGCATACAGCCATTTATCCATGTGTTTGAGGGCACCTGCGCAAACAGCCTGTGCTGTTGGTGACTGCTGACCTGCGAGCAAGTGGCTTTGGGGGTGGGGTGGTAATGGGGCAGCCTGGGCCCCACTGGGCATTCAGGGCCACTGGAAAGACAGTGCTCACTGCGGGTTTTTAAAACCACTTGATGCAAACATCATCTAATTCTAGTGAAAAAATACAGGCAGGGAGCTTTTCTTAGTGTTGAAGTCTGATGCCTTTGGTTAGAGCTCCCATAAACACAGCAGCAGTTTAATTATTGGTATCATTAATCATTGATATAATTAATTATTGGTATAACACAGTTTGGGTGCCCATGGGGTGCCCTTGGCTCCCCTATACCTCCACTTTACTTACAGCTTTCAATCTCCAGGGAACATGTCTGCGTGTCCAGGGGAAAGCGACTAAAATCCATGTTGCACATTGCTGTTACTGTAACTCTAGGAATAAAAAAAATCACTCCATTAAAAACTTGTCCCTTATGGGACCGTAAAATAGTAAAGCTGTGAGTTTGGTCTTTTATTAAACAACTACAGTACCACTCAACTGAAAATAAATTCTTTCCATTCAGCTAAAGCCATTCCACTTTAGTTAAAGCCATTTCTTCATCTCAGCAAGCTACTGTTAAAAAAGGTGCCACGAAAGTTAGGCCATTACAAATTGCAGCTAGATGGCAGAAGTATTGGAGAAGAAAATGAGAAAGGACAAAAAGGACACTTCCCCCCTGACAATCAGCAAACACATCTCTGCAGACATCTGTCCTTTAAACAGATGCTTTGTACGATAAAATAATTTGCATTTGTAAAAGCCATCACAGTTGCAACTCATGAGGAGTGCAGGCAATTTCCTTGCACACAGTGAATTTCCAGCTGCTCAGTGGAAACTCGGTGATCACACATGGGAATCAGCCACCAGAGGGCACAGAGCTGGAGCTGGAATGCAAGCAACCACCGAAATGCTCTGGTCCATCCATCAAAATCTCTGGCTTTGCCATGGTCTGATTACCATATTTTTAATAGCATAATTTGGTGTTTGAACCAGAAGCAACCATAAATCTCCACTCGACTGGTTTGGACTGCAGAGAAGTAAATGAAAATAAAAGTATAAATTATATTGGGGAAAGAATTAATAAGTTATAGAAGGCTTAGTGGTAGGGAGACATCATACGTGATAAAAACACAGTGCAATCCCTTATATTAGTAGTCCTTCTACACGAGTGGGTTCTGTCATCATGATGTTGCTTTCCCGTCTGGATTTAGCCTTTGAGTGAAAGTGCTTGGCTCAGCTGGAAGTTTAGGTGCCAGTGAGGTCTATGGTGGTTTCCAAGATGGGAAAACAATGCCTGGCAAAGAACCCTAAAAAGGCAGACACCAAGGAAAAATACAATCTGCAGGCAAAGGCGTTCAGCAAGGCAGTCAGGCAGTAACAACCTGTCAGGGAGCCTTTGTCCTTCCCCAGCATTCAGGAAGCATTGCAACCTGCACTCACTGCTGAATAAAACACTGAAACTCAGCCAATTTGCTATTGGAGTCTTTCACCACCACTTTGTGCCCGGCAATTGTTTAAGCACAAGACTGTGCAGGATCTGAGTTTGATGTCCTCCTGTTCCCATGTTCTTTAGATAACCATAAATGCTTGAGTTGCAGGTGATTGGCAGCTAAATGAGTGTGTAGGCACGCATGCCATAGCTGAACAATATGTCATATTCTTGTCCTTTTTTATTGTACTCAGGACCTGACCAAACTTTGCAAAGGCCTAAAGAATACCTGAATCACGTCTAATCTGCTGAGTGAAGAAAAAGCTTTGATAATGAGAAGGTAATGTTCAGGCAATGAATTCAAATGAAGTGTAAGAAAAAAATATCCAAGAACAAAAGAATTCTTGTCAAACTGATGCCCCCTAGGGAATCAAGAATTTCTTTGCTTGACTTTTTTTGTAGAATCATAAAACATCTTGGCAGGCTGAGAAGTTACCCCCTCACCTGGTGGCAGGTTCAGCTTCACCTCTGCCGCTACCAACATTCCCTAAAGACCTCCACAGCCTTCACAAGCAGTATATTCTGCAACTTTCTCACTAGTTAAATCTATGAATCTTGCTGATACTGACCTCCTATCAGCCAGGTTTTCCTTCTTTTTGTCCTTCAGAATATATTATCTATCATCTGATGCTTTGTTTATTTATCAGGTGATGTTGACATTCTTGCATCAGAATATTGTACAGAAATTTCCTTTCAAATAGGTTTTTATGGGTCCTTTGGCAGTACTTGCTTTCTAACTGGATTCAGCTGCAGCCAAGTAAAACAGAAGAACAGATTTTGTATTCCTTTAGAGATTGACAAATTGATTGTCTGGGATAGAGTTAAATTTTTTCACGGTAGCTAGTGTGGGAATACGTCTTGGATTCATCAAGAAAACAGTGTTAATAACATAGGGATACGTTCATCATGCTGAGCAGGGCTTCCACAGCATCAAGGCCTTTTCTGCTTCTCACACCACCCTAAAAGGGAAGAGGCTGAGTGTGCACAGGGAGTTTGGAGGGGACAGCTGACCCCAGCTGACCAAAAGGACATTCCACAGTATATGTCATCATGCTTAGCATATGAAGTGGGGGAAGAAGAAGGAAGGGGTGGAAGTTTGGAATAAAGGCATTCGTGTTCCCAAGTGACCATTATGTGTGATGCATTTCTGGGGCTGGCTGAACACCTGCCTGCCCTTGGGAAGTGCTGAATGAGTTTCTTTATTTGCTTTGCCTGTGCATGGGGCTTTTGCTTTACCTGATTATCTGCCTTTATCTCAGCCCACGAGGTTTTTTTTGTCTCTTACTGTTCCAATTCTCCCTCCCACCAGGACAGAGTGAGCCAGCAGCTGCATGGGGTTTAGTTGCCAGCTGGGCAATCATGACACACATGCTCCTCACTTAGCATCTCCAAGCATGAAAGTGTTACTTACCAGAAATTTAAAAATCCCAATTTAATAACATTCAGACTTATGTCAACTGATGAACTATTTGGAAAATAAGGGAGAAAGCCAGGGCTGGGACCACCCCTCAAGCCAGAGGACAACAAAAATGTTTCCTGCAAGGAGGTCCATGGATTTCACATGAAAAGGGAGCAAAAAGCAGGAAGAGCCAAACCAAGTGTTTGGCTTGCTCCAACAGTACACAGGATTCACCAAGAGCTATATACCCTTGCTCTGAAGCTTGTCACTTCACGTGCTGAAGGATGTTCCCTCTGTTTTTTTCTTATTATAAATTTATACTTCTTCATTATCGCTTTCAAGAATAGAAACTGCACATTTTGCTAAGCCCAGAGACTTTGCTGTGTGGTGAAGTGGGTAACTATAGCTGCCCTGGACTTCTCTTCATTACCAGGCACTACCCTTTCATTTAGAATGTGCCCTGCCTCTTCAGCAGTGCTCCGTGGGGATTGCAGCCTGCTGGCCTCCACTGAGCCTGCTCCAAGGGACTGCCACGTCTGACTGCAGCTTCCCGACAGGGACAGGGGCTAGCCATGCTCACAAGGTGAAGAGACAGTGGTGGAACCAACAATGCTGGCACAGAAACTGGCTTTCTGCAACAGGCACTTAAATATACTCATACAGGCACTCAGATGTCTGTGGATAGCCAGAACATCCATTCTTTTTTATGAAGAATGCCTCTTTTTTGTATGAAGTCATGCAAAAACACAATACAGGAATCAATTAAGCCACTTTCTCTTTCCACTAACAGCTTGCATTGACCGAATGCAGTTTTACCTGAGGCTATAAAGTACCTTCCCATCTGGCTGGACCCGCAGCATGACGTTGTCTGTGGTGGTGTCGTGGATGAAGGAACGCTTGGAGTGGACAAAGAACATGTCAGGCACCCAGATCTTCTTCACCAGTCTGCCATCAAAGGTCATGCTTTGGTTGTTGGTGCTGGGGAAGGACAGCCTCTCATCTTTCCAGTAGTGCCTCAGGTAAAGCGTCATGGTGAAGTCCTGCAGCAAACAGGCTTCTGTCACAACTTAAACCTTATCAGCACAGTAGGGATTGCTCCTCTCTGGGACAAACCATGAATGGTAAAGCACTTCTCCTGAGGGCACATCCACTCCCCAGGCTGCAAAGGGCATCACCAGCTGCAGCTTATTTATTCACCAGGTCAGATACACTTACTGGGCTCAGCCACAACTCACTTCTCAAGCTTAAACTTAGTACACAATGAATAACTCTGTCACTGATGTGTCTTCATTTAAAAAGCAATAATGATCTTGCTGAGCACCATGGCATTTTTCTATAAAACTGCAGGAGTTAAAAAGTATTGATTCTGAAAATGTAAAATCTTCTCCATTATTATTTTGCTAACAGCCAAAATCGACCCTGAGCTTTTTTTTTTTTTAACCTGAGGCCATCTAGTGGTTTTCCCATGTTGATGAGTATTGCAACATGACATTAGAGGAGGAACAGGGGCAGTATTCAAAAGCCATGGGAACTAATTCAAAATCATAATGTTTGATTGAAAAAAAAAAGAAAAAATAACAGGTTTGTTGTTTGGGTTTTGTTTGGTTTGGGTTTTGTTTTGGGGTCTGGGTTTTTCCTTTAACTTCTAAGTCCTCGATGTTCTTCTACTCGGATTTCAAGTCCCAAAGCTTTTTAGGGGCCCTCTGGCCACCTTCACAAGCTTTCTCCTCAGCCAAAACAGGTGAAAGCTCAGGATACCCATGGCTAGCTATCAGGGTGCCAAGAGCACTGGAGTCAGGGAGTCAGCTGGAAGGGTCCCCAGTTCTGGGGAAAATGTTTACCCCTGAGGTCAGATGACTGCAGATATCCCAGCCCACACAAGAGCTGAAATAGCTGCAGTGAGAGGAGCCTGACATGCCACCAGTGTGTCTGCCAACCACCAGCTGTGCTGCCACACAGCCCTGCACCTGGCTCAACCATTGGAGGAGGTCTGGTGCAGACTCTTTATCCCTCTGTCTGTTAATTAGGAGCACAGAGAATGTGTGGCTTCCTGTGAAACCTTCAGGGCTGTTTGCTAATTTTGTTGAAAAGTCAAAACCTTTTGAAAAAATATTCTGTATTGGTGAGCGATTATTTTCTCTTCCAATGCAAAACCTGAGTAATTGAGAGATTCTGTGGGTCATAGAATGTTTGGAATGGAAAAGTGCCCTTAAAGACCATCTTGTTCCAGCCCCCACTAACATTGGCAGGCTATCTTCCACTAAACCAAGTTGTTTAAAGCCCTCTCCAGCCTGATCTTGAATGGGATGGGGCATCCACAACTGCTCTGGGCAGTCTGTTCCAGTGTTTCTCCACACCCTGAGTAAAGAATTTCTTCCTTATATCAAAACCTACCCTCTTTCAGTTTAAAGCCATTCCCCTTTTCCTTGGGAGCTCTCTGGCCCCTGACTACCTCAGAACATGTCCAAAGTGACTATGTCTGAAGCATGTAAGTCCTTAAAACGAACACATTCATTGGTCTCCTCAGAGCTTTTAAGTGTGTTATCACTATATAAGAAAATATAGAAACCCAAATCCTCTGAGACAGTCTTGGCAATGTTTTATCATTTTGTCCTAGAGAAAAGAAAATGACAGATTTCTTCCTTCTGCTTCAAGGGCCATGAAATGGTAGCATGAGGTCAATAGAAGTAATTGTTGGCAGATTCAGATTGAATGTGCATCTGCCTTTGGAGGCTGTAGAGTGTTTGTCCTTGGCAGTATTCAAACCCCACAGACACAAACCCAGGTAGCCTGCAGAGTTTTGGTCACCAGAGGTCCCATCTGTGACTCTTACCATGTCCACCTCAGAAATGCTGTCCAGACTTTCAACTTGGACATCCACCCCGACAGGAATTGCAGGGCCTAGCGGGAAAAAAATTAGGCTTTGAAAAAGCACAAACCTCGTGAGATAAAGCAGTCCTGTGACTTTACTATCTTACAGATAGAATAGATGCTCAGTCTTAAATAGAAACAACAGTAAGCCAATAGAAAGTATAAATTATTTAAATTCACAACAAAAATCTCCTTATAACAATTAAAGTCAGTAATAAGACTGACCCACTAATAATTTTCTCTTTTTATTGTGTTATCCTACGTGTGTCCCTTCAAGATTTAAAAGCAGCTTTAATTGTTTTTAGCTCTAGTGCTTGGGTCTGGGACTGGTGAGAGAGATTACTGGAAGAGGATCCTTTCACAGAGAGACTAGTGGTGGCACAACTAAGGGATATGTGGGAGATTTTCCCTCACTTTTACTCCCCTTTCAGGCTAATAACATCTATGAATGCTACTACTTGCATTTGACTTTCACAAGGCTCAGTATGCAGCTGTGGAAAAGAAAGGGTGACAGGAGGGGATACATTGCAGGACACAGGCATGTGCCACTGAGCCTGAGGCTCTTGTGGGGAAGGATCCAACTGTGACCCCGTGTAATAGGGATTCTGAACTTTTTTCTCTCCTCCAGGCTTTGATTAGTCTCTCATATACCTCTGGCAATTACAGTCCAGGGGAGCTGTCAAGTAAAATAATGCTCACATTTGTGAACTGCTGTGAAACTGAAATGTTTTTAAATTAATTGAACATGCTGGTATTTGGCATATTGAGCATTTAGCGATAAAATCTTCTTTCATCAGAGTATATAATGGTATCCTGGATTTGAATGACCATCTGTCAGCCAGAAAGGGTAGATAAATTACAATATTCTCTAATCCGATGGGCTGAAAGAAAGCGTGTTCTCCTTCATCCATTTCCCTGAAAGCTTCAGTTGCTCTAGCACACAAAACTGTGAGCAAGCATTAACACAGTAGAAATATTTTATTTCGGGTTATAAATGAAGTAAATGTGGTACATCATTTGATTATGCACATGTATGGCCATACGAAGAAAAAAACTTAGAATTTCCCACATCATCCAGGAATAAACATAAGGTGTATTTGCAGATTTTTATCAGAGGAAAGTATCACTAAGCACTAGGATTAATATATTGCCTGTTAATCACATTTCCCTGCCTTTGACTATGCTTTTTGCTCATCCAGAAGGCTATGTCACTGAACCTCCATTCCCCCGAGAATGCCATGAATTCACAACTCAAAAGAATAGATATTAGAGACTGAAGAGCCAATCTGCTTCTCCACTGCTGTAAATGTTACAGTATAAAGAAGCGACAGTATAAAACAGGAACAGTGACAAATGTGCATGTTTCATACCTCCAAAACCTGGTCTCATGCTGAAGTCATGGTCATCTATTCGCAGCAGCTGCTCTGACTTGGTCAGGGGAGATTTGGTGATGTCAGGGCTTCGTTTCAAGATTGGGCTACCAGGAGGAGAGAAGCACAGCTATGAGCCCTGGGCAGTGCCTGTGAGAAGTACGCTCTTGTTTCACTCCATTTACTCCTCAGAACATCCACCCCTTAGAGCATGAGACTGTGATCGTGGCAGTGGTTGGCAGAATGTCATTAAAAACTCATTCCTGCACTCAGCATGTGGTTCAGGCACCTGTGATAATTTTAGCACTGAGCAAACGTTTGTTTGGTGGCTTTTTTTCCCTGTAAAATTCTCTCTGCATACAGCAGTTTGGGGACAGTCATTAAAATGTGGGGCTGGAGGAGCAATATGCATGGATAAGTGGAGAGGGGGAGGCAATCCTGACATTGACTTATGATGGAGTGTGAGGCCAGGAATTAGGGAAACAATATATCAAATAAGCTACTGGCTGCTGCCCAGGAACAAAATGGAGACAGTCTGGGAAGCAGGCCAGGAGGCAGGCCATTCCCTAATTTGGGATAAAATTATTAGCTTCTGCCCCAGATTTCCATCAAGGATAAAAAGCAGCATTACAGGCCTGGGAGGTCTCTGAGCATTAAGGAGCCTGGGAGGGTAATTCCAGAAGCTGCTGGAGCTGCACAGAATGCTGGGCAGAGGAGGCTCTGATCCCCTTCCACATCCAAAGTGCAAGCTGCTGTTCAGTGCCCCAGGGCTGTGGCTGGGATGGTGATGGCAGCAGCTCCTCGGTTGCTCCCTTGTGTAGGGGAAGCCTTTGCTGCCCTCAGAGCCAGCTGCAGACCAGCCACTTGGCAGGCAGGAGGGCTCAAAAAAAGGAGGAAAGGTTTTGCTGGCTCTTGATTTTAGAAAAGATGGTGCACTCAGAGAGGCACTCATCTGAATTTACATAAGACAAGTAAGAAGTAGATTAAAGGAAAACAAGCTGACAAAGAAACTTGATGAGGGAAAAGTTCCTGAGATAAAGTTTCTCATAAATGAGACTGCTTAGCCGTGCTGGACTTCTCAAAGACTCGTTGAAAGTTGTACAAGAAGCCAGATCTCCTAACAGAGACCAGTGGTGTTGTCAGCGACTCCTCACTCAAATCCTGTATCTGGACTTCAAGGTATCTTAGAAAGATGCTTTATCTAAGTTCAACAAAATTGCTAAGAGGTTTGAGTTGTCTACTTCCATCAGTGAGTTCTAGTCATGAATTATCCCTCAGGCACTTTAGAAACTGGCCCCTGCTTCTGCTTGAGGTTTAGTTCAGCCTCTGAAAGACCTGAGGGTGTACATTAGGGAGGGTTTGTGCCTGTCCAAGGCAGAGGCCAGTGGCAAAGCGAACATTGGAGAGTAGGTTTTACTGTGTTCAGAAAGGTTCTTCCTCTCTGCCAGTGCCAGTGGGAAGAAGAATTGGCATGATGGAGAACCCGTGGAAAGGCACTTGGAGGGAAGGAATCCAGAAAGGACTCTTGGAGGGAAGGCACCCACTGACACAGCACCGCAGCACAAACCGCGCATCAGCACCACACGAAGCCTGAGGGCATGTGGCAAATGGCCGTGGCCTCACCCCGCAGCCCCATGAGGGTGTCAGGCAGAGGGGCTTCCTCTGGGGCCCGCTGGATCCCGCTAATGGCACGGCTAACAGCTAAAGACAGCTGGCTTGTCCCCTTGTCCCCCTGCCCCCTTCCCACGGGCCAGTGGCTAGCAGGCCTGGGCCAGCAGCGGCCTCCTGAGGGTTTTGCTTACCTGCCCTGCTTGTGCACTTCGCCGTGGGCTTCCCGTCGCTGCCGCTGCGGCCGGCTGCGTGGAGACAATGGGAAAAGGGAGAGCTGAGACAGGTGGACACGGGCAGGAGGGAGAGGATGTCAGGAGGAGGCACCGGATCCCTGCAGCTTTACCTTCTGTCACATGTGAGAAACGGTGCTTGCCTTTTTTTTCACCCTTTCACCAAAGGCTGGTGTCAGGCTGGGCATGGCAGAGCGTGGGGAGGGTAGGGATGCTCGGGCTCGGGCAGGGACAGAGCTAAAGGAGGGGAGCCATGATTTTTGTAAGGTGGGATGCCTTTTCTGACTGTCTGGCAAAGTCCCCAGGCAGGCAGCTCAGATCCCACCATTCCAGCTTTGGCTGGCAACATCAGCAGCTTCGGAAACAGGCATGCCATGGGGCCTCTGGTGATGGAGGCACGGCCACTCCACCTGCAGAGCAGAGTATGTTCACGAGAAGAAAAGATTTTCAAATTGTTTTGGAGGGAGGGAAAAAATAAAAAAACAGTGCAAATTGTTTCTGGCTTCATACCATCTCCCACCTGGCTGTCAAGAAAGGTCTTCTCAGATTTTCAGCTAATATTTTATTTAATCGTTAAAGGCAAGAATGTTGCTTTTGGCCACATAAGTGCTAGCTTGAGCAAAAGTAACATTTTAAACATTTAACAGTTTTAAGTCATCTTTAATTAAAAGGGAAAAAATTAGCTTTTCTCAGTAATAAACACTAATTCAAATCAAATCTACTAATGAGGCTTTTTGCCCATTAGCATACATTTCAAATCCCTCTGTAGAGACTTACAGTGGCAAAACTCTTTTTGCAGTAATGGTTGACAGCACCTGAGCACCATCGTCCCTTTGGTGTGTGGTGGAGGAACCCTAGACCTGCGGGACAGCTCCTTTCTGGGCTGGGAACATTCCAAAAGCCAATAGTATGGGAGGGAAATTCATCCTGCTGCTGCCACAGAGAAGCAGACAACCAGGTCAGGAATGGGCACATGGGGCTGTAGCATTGACTCACCCTGAAGTGAAGCACTGGATGAGTAGGATTTTTTTTTCCAGAATCTACTCTGTGCTTCCCAGAGGAATTCTAGGAATAAGTGCACAGATAGACGAGTGTTTGGGGGAGCCTTTGGGCCATGCAGCACCACTGCAATTAAAAGAAATAGCTTCTGTGGCACTGCTTGGACCTGGGCATCACAAAGCAAAACACTTGCAAATGCAAAATGCACTTTCTGGAGCCTTCTGCCTTCTGAGACACTCTGATTGTCTCACTGCTGCCTGCTTCTCATCTGCTGGCTGTCAGGAAGTAATTTCTTGTGTTTTGGGGATAAGCAGATTCTGGCAACAAGCTGACCGATTTACATGACTTTAAGTGCCCTAGTAAACTCTTGGCTGTTCAGGAATAATGCTGGTATTTGAACAGAGATGAAGCAGGCCATGTTCTTGCAATTTCTAATTTTCATTTCCCTTGTAGGTCTTATCTAATGCTTCACGGTGGCTCTGCTCCTGTTCTGCTTATCAAGGGAGACTTCCAGGCATGGCCATCAAGGATTCAAGGCCAACTCATCCCCATCCTCTGTACTCAGCAAGCCTGGGTGCTTCCTTTATTTCCTCCAGGTGTTCCTCTCTCTCCTCTAAAATTAACTTTATTTCCCTGTCACAGAGAAGCATAAAATGTCTCCCATGCTCCATCCACTGCAGAGTACTGTGTTCATTTGAGCTTTGGTTTGGGTATTTTTCTTCTTTTTGGCTGTCCTGTTCCCCTTGTCACAGCTCTGTAACGGCAAAACATTTTTATCTGTTACCCAGTTACTCCAATTTGAAGCCCCATTTCTTTCTACTCAATAAATATCTTTTCTGCTCTGGTTCCTGGAGAGTCTTCTGCTGGCTCAGTGATCAGTGGCAGCTCCATCATGGGACCCCATTATCCTGCCTGTCTGGGCTGTGAGTCGTTGGAAAGCTGCTGTGGCTTCTGCTGTTTCTGGGTGTTTGCGATCGACAGCCTCAGCCAGGAGATCCAGCCCAGACATTGTGCACAGATTGCTCAGCTCAACTGGCTGTGAGTGTCCCTCCTGCTTTCATTGGGGTGACAGCTCCTTAAATATAACAGACATTCCTGAGGTAAAATATATTGAACAATGAACAACCCTTTTTCTCCCCCACACAATGTTAATATTTATCTCCTAGCAGCTACAATGCCAAAAGGCATTTCATGTCCCATGAAGATCACAGAGATGCTTAGTGAAAAAGCAACCACTGGAGCAGAGTGGCATTTACTCACAGTGCTCCCTGAGCATTGCTAGAGTAGCTCTTGGGCCCCTGATGGCAGATGGGGTGATGTAAGCTCTTCAAAGTCATTGTTATTGCCCCAGATCTACCCACTGCTTCAAGATCTTGAGATGCCTCTGCCTCAAAGTTTGGGACTTGCTGGGGCTGGGAGGCAATGATGTGGCTGAAGTGTAGGATAGCTGGGGAAGAAAATCAGCCAACCCAGATTTTGATCACTACTGCTACAGACACAGGACAAAAGGCAGTTACCCTTTTTGTATTTCAAGGCATGATATTTCCTATTGCTCTTAATAGTCACTCCAACACTCCAGCAAAAAGGGTTGCAGGGTTAGGGTAACGGTGTCTGATTTTCAGAAGAGACAGTCCAACCCTGACATCTAAAGGTCCCAGCACGCATTTCCAAATGCTCAATGTCATAGGACACGTGCCAGAGGAATGTCAGGTTCACATTTACAATGTGCACCAGGAACCCCATAGTGCTCTTCATCTTGGAATTAAGAGCTATTGGAAGCAACCAAAACAAATGTGCGAGAGGTCATTACCCATTGTAGCATTTTAGTTTGCAATTACTTATGCAACATACATTTCCCACCTATAATCTCACAGATCAGCCAATCCACAGACTTCCTTACAACTGATGCAAGGCAACGGGAGATACAGAGCTTGTTGAGCCAGTTTCCAGCAGGACTTCAAACTGGAGGGTAAAGAAAGTGATGCAAGTGCCCGCCAGCCATGCAATGGCACTCAGCTCTGGCTCCCCATCCCTGTGTGAGCAGGGGTGGACAGCTTGTGCTGTGCCTCCCATCCTGCACCTGCTGTGCTGCACAGACCTCATGCCATGGTGGGCAGGGGAGTGCCAGCACCCACATTCTGCTTGGTCTTCCCATCAAATTACATCTGGACAAGGCAGGAGAGGGGAGCAGAGGCAGCACAGGTCCCTGCTGGGAACAAAGTCTTGGCAGGATGGACATGGGATTGACAAAGTTATATTGGTACTATAGAGATCTGTGAGAAGTGTAAAAATATTATTAAATGCCTAGATGTTTGAGTAGGCTTTGATCTCCCTATTTTATGACTGGTTAGTGACTGGGGTTCATACGACATCAGCATCCTGTTAAAGACAAAACC